AGCTCACCTGCTTCGATGTCCGACTCCTGGGCGATGGCCCTTGGCCCTCTCGGTGTTCCGGAGTGCCGGAGCGTCTTTTCGCCCGTCTGGTCAGGATCCATCTCTTGCCTGAGCCGGTCGAAGATAGCGCGACAAAACGAATCGCTCTGCTGTGCTTCGTACAGTTCCGTTCGGTTGAACGCCGGTCCCAGTGAGGTAATCGCCTCAGCCAGCTGCGCGACGCCGCCACAGTGGGGAGCGGAGCGCGAGGCGGGATTTCCCGTCTCCTGGGGGATGGCCCCGCCTCCGTAGCCTGCTGCCTCGCGCGGTGGGGGATCCACGGGCGCGCGGGAGAGCGCGTCGGCCACCACATTTGTCGTGCCCTTCCGGTACCGAATTCGGTACTCGTACTTCTGCAGTGTCAAGGCCCAGCGCGCCAGTCTTCCGGCGGGTTCCTTGATTCGGGAGAGCCACGCGAGGGCCATATGGTCCGTCTCGATCGTGAATTCCGTCCCCTCGACATAATGATCGAACTTCTTAAGAGCAAAAATGATGGCGAGGCATTCGCGCTCACTCACCGTGTAGTTCTTCTCTGCCGGGTTCAGCGCCCGGCTGGCAAATGCCACCGGGCGGATCTCTCCCCCTGTCTCCTGCAAGAGCACCGCGCCGAGTCCTTGGTCGCTGGCGTCCGTCTGGATCGTGAAGGGCCTATTCAGGTCTGGCAGTTTGAGGGATGCTGTACGCGCCAAGGCCTCGGTCAGCTGGAGGAACGCCTCCTCCTGCGGCGCCTCCCAGCTCCAGGGAGCCGCTTTCCTCAGCAATTGCGTGAGGGGTGCCTGCATGGCTGCGCAGTTCGGGATGTAGGCTCGGTAGTATCCTATCATGCCGAGAAAACGGCGCACTCCCCCGACATCGGTAGGGACTGGGAACTCCAAGATCGCCCGCAACTTGTCCGCGTCAGGGGAAACTTTTCCTCTCTCGATCCGGAAACCCAACAAGCTGATCTCAGAAGCTCCAATTTGGGCTTTAGTCGGGTTTAGTGTGAGGCCGGCGATCCGTAGTTTGCGCAACACGTCCTCAAGGTGACGAAGGTGGTCCTCGAAAGTTTCCGAGTACACAATGATGTCGTCCAGGTACGCGAGCGCGTGCTGCCACTTGGCATCTCCGAGCACCCCGTCGATCAACCGCTGAAATGTCATCGGTGCACCTGTTAATCCGAACGGCATCCGAGTGAACTCGAACAAGCCTCGGTGACACACGAATGCAGTTTTGCTTTCGTCGCCCGGGCTCATCTCCACTTGGAGGTAGCCTTTGCTTGCGTCGAGGGTAGTGAAATACTTCGCCTTCCCCAGATTCGAGATGATTTCTTCGATGCTCGGAAATGGATACGCATCTTTTACGGTCACCGCGTTCAAGCGCCGATAATCGACGCAGAGTCTCGATGTTCCGTTCTTCTTGGGCACCAAAACCACCGGGAATCCCCAGGGTCCAGATGACCGGCGAATGATTCCCGACTTCAGGAGCTCATCGACTGCGGCATCTATCGCGTTTCGCTTCGCCAGGCTCACAGGACGCGGATTGGACTTCCAAGGGCGTGCGTCCCCAGCTTCAATGCGATGTTGCACCTGCTTAGTGCAGCCCGGCTGTTCGGTGAACATTTTGTCAAAGTTGTGCAGCAAAGCCGCCAACCTCTCTCGCTCTGGTCGGGACAGTCCATCGGCATTGGCCAACGGGTGGCCCCGGTGGCCCATTTCGTCGCAGTGCTCGGCGGAGCTCGGAGTTGGGTGACTCATGGGCATGGCGTCGTCGCGGTCGGTTCTTTCCTGTTCTGTCGCTTTTCCCAGCGCTGCCGCCATGGCCCCCATGGAGCGCTCTCGGAAACTTGAAAGGGGCGCATGTGCCCCCTCTCGGTACCCGCCACTTGCCACGTCAATGATGATGCCAGTGTGAGCCAGGAAATCCCGTCCCAGAATGATGGGCACTGTCAGCCCGGCCAAATGGACGAACCGCTGTCTCTGCGCGCGTTGATTCCAACGTACCACGAGACGCACTGCTCCCCTCGAAGTCGTTGACCCACAAGCCAACTGGAAAGTGGTCTCCCCATGCCTCACCCGAACGGACTTCTGTTGGAGATGCCTGAGGACCTCGTCCCCAATTAGCGACGCACTAGCCCCGCTATCCAGAAGAGCTGCGAACTCCTTTCCCGCCACCGTCAGGGAAATAAATGGGGCCGCGGTGCTTGTCGCTGCTCCGACTCGATACGCCGTCGGCACGCACACGGTCGAAGGGGTGTCGGGGACCCGCTCGTTGGTCGGTTTCGCCGCCGATAACTTTATCGGCGGCCTCCTCAGTTTCCCGGAATCTCCCTTGTGCAGTCGCGCCTATAGTGCCCGATTTCGTGGCACCGAAAGCAGCGGCCTCGCCAACCTGGGATAGGATTCTCCCCAGTGGGACGTCTGATGCGCTCACCCCTTTGTGGCAGCGGGTCGGCGGCAGCCTGCTCCTGGGCTGCGGCGATCCGTGGTGCGCCGGTCGGACGGAATTCCGTCGCGTGGACGGCCGCGCTCCCTCCTCGGCGCGATCCTGGCTCCAAGGCGTCATCCGAGAGCTCCCAGGGATTCCCGCTCGGCTCCCCGCTGGCCTCCGCCATTGCGGCCTCCCCCCGTCGATACCCACGTGGCACCGGCCCCTGCCACGCGCACCGGGGTTCGAGCGTGTCGATTGGTGCTGGGGGAAGGTGGTACCTGCGCTCCGCCAGTATGTCGGCCTGAACCCTGCGCGCCTCCTGTGCGAGCTCACTCAGACTTCCGAATGGGCGCCCACGCAGATACCGCGAGAAGGTGGGATGCGCCTGCCTCACCACCCGCTCGACCTGCTCCTGGTTCGTAGCATTCGGATCGGCGATCTGCAGGAGTTCCTGCATTGCCCGCAAGTACTCTCCGAAGGGCTCAGCGGGAGCCTGCGTTCTTTCCTCCAGTTCCCTGCGCATTCTTGGCAGGTAGTCTGCCGGCAAGAACTCTTGTCGGAAGAGGGCCGTGAACTCGTCGAGTGTTCCGGCTGACTCGCCCACAAGGCGATGCCACCTGGCTGCTGGGCCTACAAGAGCCACCGGCAGAACTCTGCCTAGCGTCTCCTTCTCTGTCAGGCCGGTAGCCTTCCGATATCGCTGGATTTCCAGCAAGAAGTCGGTCGCGCTCAGAGCTCGATCGCTGTGTCCGCTGTACTCCGGCACCGGAATGCGGATGAGGGTTCTTGGCAGCGGCGTTGGCCCCTGCATGCTCTGTAAGGCCTGAGCGAACGCCGCAACCAACGCCGCGGACTCACGGGACATCTCCGTGCTTTGCGGCATAGACACCGCTGGCGATACCGTCGGCGTTTCCGGCACTACGGTCATCTCCGCGGCGTTCCCCTCCGTCAACCGCGAGAGCCGTCGCTCTTTTTCCGCTTGTGTCGTCGCGACGTCCGCCAGAAACATTAAATCTGTTAGCGCGAAATTACCCGCGGCCATCCCGAACACTTGTTTGGACGTGCCCTTTTCACCTTCACAGTGCCGCGGTATAGACCCGCCAACCAGGGGGACCGCCCCGCGTGAACTTTCACGTGGTGTCGTCGACGGACGTTGCGACCGTAATTACGGCTCGCCTGCCCCAACGTTGATGCGCCATTTGTGGGAATTCGCGTACCGCCGCCGATTCGCAGTTTCCCACGTGGTCCGTCAACAACCCGAGTCCAGCCTGGTTCTTTCACGGGAGCGGGATTCCGCTCCCAGTTTATTGGTACAATAAAACACAACACTACAAAACACTCAATCTAAACTACAAATACAAGCTACATTACACAATTATTTACAAATGCACGTTAAGGCTAAAGCTAAACACAAAGGAGGCCCTTAGGCCTCGCGTCCCGCGATATCCTAGATCCGGTCGCCACCCACTTGCCTGCCAGTGCCTGCGTCTCGGTCTCGTCCGAAGTTCTTAGAGGCCTCTCGCCCCCTGCCCCACCGAGTATATATGTCGATGGGCGAGGAGGTTTCTCCTCGCCTGCCACGGGGGCGCCTGCAGCGCCCTCCAGTGGCTAGGAGAGAAAGCGGCGCGTCGGGAGCCGAATTCGAGATCCCGATCGACCCCGCGGCAACACGACCATGTGATCGTGTCGCGGCCAAGATTGGCCGAATGGTTTGATGGGCGCCCTCGTGAATTCACGGTGCGCCATACGCTTAAGTGGGACTAGAGCATAATGGATTACCCAAAAAGCCAAGCGGGCAATACGGATCCAAACAGATTGTTGGATTTATACAAAGCATCGAGGTAAGCTTACATTTTTTTTCTAGATTGTTTTTAGCAGCTCATTAGCATGAGTCTCAGCAAAGTTCTTTAGACATTTCTGAATGGAACTTGCACCATCACTCAGGTTACTTTGTTGGAGCTTTATTTGAAAAGATTCCCACAGTAAATGGGAAGATTGGTGCAAGAACAGACATACCAGTAACTCAATTGGACAAAAATAAAAAAAACAAAATGTGTTGAAGCAAACACGCTACAACTTGTTTGACTGCTCACTCCTGCTTCCCTGGAGCAAAAAAAAAACATTGGCACAACTTTTAATTTTAAAGTTTTATAATGTATGGAATGCTGTATTTAAGGATCTATCATTTAGATTTGTGTAGAAGACATTACAAAGTCATTTCTGGGAGTGAAAAAGACAAAAAAAAACACTGTTTATTAATTGCCTTCTCCTCCCCCCCCTTACATCGTCACCACGCACTACGATGAGTAGTATAGCATGTATATAACTTGTAGCGGACGTAGGATATAAACCTCAGCCGGCACTGAGGTGGAGCATGTGTCAAGTTGCCGTGATAACCAAACTGGTTGTGCCGACATGAACTGCCGTCGGGTATGCGTGGACTGACAAATTTCTGGGAGTTGGGCTTCCGCTCAAAAGCATCCCGCACTCTCAAAAGTGGCTTCGTCATTACCAGCTCTGAGTCTGACTTAAAGCCTCCCCTCCTCACACCCCAGCCATGGGCGCCGAAGGGAGGCCCCTGAGGAGCGTGGCCGCCCTCTCGGTGGCCCGCGGAGACGGCCTTTCGTCTTCCGGGGCCCCGGTGCCCGGCGAAGCCCTCTTCGGCGCCCCCTCGCCGGCCTCCTGGACGTGCCCCCGCCGCTTCCTGGGCCGGGGCAGGACGCTGTTGCTGGCAGACAACCACCAAGGCTGCCTGTCCTTCCTGGAGCCCCTGCTGAGCCGGGCCTGGGGCCGCTTCACGGAAGGCGCCTTCCTGCACCACTACACGCGCCACGGACTGCAGGTCGAGGACCTGGCCGACGCCTTTGTGCGCCTGGAGCAGACGCTCGAGGCCTACAGGCAGCTCTCGGGCTCCTAGCGGCAGGCGGCGCCTCCGAGGTGCGTGGAACGCGTCTTCGACTTGCTCCGACTGGTGCTCCTTCTGTCGCTTGTAATGGCTTGGTTTCCGCCCGACGATGTTGCGGCGGAGTTCGATGCGGCAGATGGGAACCAAAGCAGACGCGAGATGGGACGGCTCGATGACGGCGACTTGAGACGGCGCGACAGGCTGGCCCCAGTGACGTCGTCCGTTGCCACTTCGGGACCACTTTTGATGCGTGGGTGGAATGGCACGCTAACCGATCGAAGACACGTTCCAGCCACCAGAGCACAACATCGTCGGTGTCTTTGTGCAACTAGGAAAGCTCAACCGGCGAGAGATGCGAACTGGGCAAAAGCTGTCGGGGTACCAGTTGTCGGTGGTCCGCTCGTAGTCGAACACGCTGGTAAGTCGGCTCGGCGAAGCAAAGCGAGCAGTGCAACGAACTCGGGAACTGGAGGTGGGAGACAGCTTGCTGGTTCGAGGTGTCATCTGTAATTGGAAGTGATGATATTCATTGTGCGTCGAGATAGAAACGCCGAGAAATGCTCCACTTTCCCTATACAGGGTGTTTTGTGAAACGTGGGCCAAATCACTCCCACAAAAAGCGTATGCATCGCACAGAAAGAAAGTTAATGTCCTTTTATTGTCTGCCAAAGGGCCTATTTAGAAAAATCTAAAATATTTGGTAGAATTTCTGTTTTAATTACTTTCGAGTCATTAAATTTTTAAGTATAAATTCCTGAGAAACACCAAAATCGGCGCACTTTACATATATGTAACTTGTGCGCAGTAATTTGTGGCATTCTGGAAAAAATGTTCAATCTGGACGTGGTTTTGGTTCCTTGTCAAGATACATCTCCACGCCAGCGGTCCTGCTCCCTCGGCAAAGAGCCCAACTAACGTGCGACACCGCGCTTTTTTCGCATGACGGAGATGAACCCAAGAATAAAGCTTATTCTTGCAATGTCATTCAAACGGCACATTGTCTCGTTACGCCGGCAAGCGTCACACTTCATTCTTCCCTACGAAGAAGACGAGTTGGTGCTTGCATACTTTGTCCATGGGACCAGGACTGCTGGCACGGAGGCGTGCTCCAATAGAAAATTGAGTGTTTTTTTGGAATGCCGTAAAGTGCTGCACGTGCCTGATTTTTTTGTAAAGTGCAATGATTCGGTATTTTTCGACAATGCCCAGAAAGTTTCAAATTGAGACTATGCCTTCAAATTTACTAATAAAAAGTTAATTACTCGAGAGTAATTAAGAACCTAATGATACTGAACGGTGATAATTTTTCTGAATAGGCTCTTTGACCGAGACCGATATGACATCAACCTTTTTTCTTGGCGATGCATACTTTTTGCAGTCGCAATTTGGCCTACGGACAAGCAATTTGACTACCTCGGTTTGTTGAGCAACACGAGTTGGGGACTGATCTTGTGTATGTACGGTATCCCTCCAAGTGAAACCAAACCAGTGCCTCATTATATGCAATTTTATTTAGAGAACTATTATTTTCTTGCCATATTAATTTTAAAAGCATCAGTAAGGTAAAGGGTATAAATAGTGCAGTACCTACATTGACATACATTGTGTTCTGTAAAATTGCAAACTGTTATTTTCTCGTAATGAATTTCGGAACGATTTGTGATGGCGAGTCTTTACACGAAGTGTGATGTGAAATGCTATGTATAGTTTTCTGCAAACATGTAGACGATTCACTGTAGGCAATACTGAATGTGCCATAGGGTGATTTTGATATATTATTTGTGAGTGAAAATATGCCAAGGTGTATAGGCCTTATCCCAGTTCATTTTCTTGAAAAGTTTACTAAGGCAGGGGTGGAACGGCTGCGCCATCTGCGCCATCTTGCGCCAGACGCATTTGTCTATGCCATCCTGTGCCATGTTGCGAACACTGCGCCACAGCCAATAAATACCTCGCGCCATTATGCACCAAATTGCGAAACATGCACCAAAAAAATTGTATTTTGTCTTGGTTTTGGTTTCTATCAACTTGATTGGCAACAATGAGTGCATTTAGCTTGGTCGGCCTTGCAATCCTATGTTCTCTTTATTTTCCCTGTGTATTCCGAGTCGAAAGTGCGCGAAAAAAACTCGGGAGTTGGATTCCAAGCGCTACACCACCTGCGTAAAACATCATTCGCTCATGTGATATGGACCCACCACCTGCGACTGGATCGTTATTCTTCAACCATCAGCAGTTAAGCATGTCGGCCGAGGTGAGGCCCGGGATCCGGACGTCAGCCAGTTGAAAACAAATGAGCAAAAGATTCCTTTTAGTGCTTCATCGTTAGAAGTTGGAACCACATTCCCTCAACATAAATCGTGATTTGATAGAACTAAACACAGTTCGATCTGAAACCTTGCCGGCGAGCAGCTCTCACACGAGCGGTAAATCTGCTCGGCGTACTTTAACCTGGGTCCTGCTTATCGCTTAGAATACGATAACTCCGTTAATCGTTGTTTGTTGCTTCGATATTGAGTGGCACAATAGGATAAACTCGAAATTTGTTGCCCTGTTCCTCCGCGCAACTGCACGTCCGTTGCTTACGCACGTCACATGGCTTGCACACATAATTACCATGTCGAGCACGTGTGGGTTGTGCTATAAGCAGTGCTGTTTTGCATTTTTAGCAGCTAAAAGCCACTCAGAAAATTTCAAGGACACTATTTTCAGAAACATATGATACTTGCTTTTTGGTTCTCATTAAGGCTCACAAAGTTTCAAGTTTTCGCATCTGTTATACTGTTATCCCATCTACCTAGGTCCCTAACCACTCGTGTTCATCTTTGCTGCTAAACACCATTGAAATTGCTCCCGTGCTTGTCTAAGACACAAGCTGAAGTGCAATGAAAACTGATCTGAGCTGCTCCTAGCCCTGCTCCAGAATGTAGTTTTAGCTGCTCCCAACCTGCTCCAAAACAGCTGTACATTTCACGAGTTCCACCCCTGCTAAGGTTATGTTTATGATCTCTCACCTTTGTAGAAAACAGTGGCACGCCATATCACCTTCTGATTAACTCTGTGACAATCCTCACTGTACATGTATGGCGGCAATATACATTTGAAAGTACCTAACATGCGAAAGTGTGCACCATGGGAGGTGTTTCCATTTGGCATGTTAAGACTGCTGACCGGGCGAGTTGGTGGCTCATGTTATTTAATGTTACAGCGCACCAAAAAAAAAACAAAAAAACACAGGCACACTAACAGAGCGCTGAGAGATTCTGTTATTTTTAATGTGACTGTGTCCATGAGCATTTTCTTTTTTGTGCGCTGTAACATTAAATAACATTCGGCACATCTTTGGCGAACTATAAACTTTATATTCGCACTGTGTTTAGCTTTGCTGGGGTTATTTATAGTGTTGAAACCAGGCGCTTTGCTCAGGTGACACGCACAGCCACGTCCCTTGTTCTGGAGCGCCAGTTCCTCCAATTCAGACCTTTAAAGGGATGCTGAACCGAAATCTGGATTCCACAAAACACGGCGGCAAAAGCGTGCAACGGGATGCTATAAACACCAAAACATCGCTCATACAGCGATATCTCCGAATGGATGACCATGTTTTCTAAAAAAAAGGAGGCACATTTGACAGATATGTTGACGTCTTGTTTCTCCGAGAAGGAGAGGGAACGGCCTCGCGTCTTCTCCGCCTCGCCGCCTTGAAGGTGCGAAGCAGAGAGAGGAGGAAATGAGATATGTTGACGTCGTTCAATCTCAACCTCTTTTTCCAAAAATACGGCCATCCATTCGAGATATTGCCTTATGAGTAGTGTTGTAGGGATTGTAGCATCCACCCTATAGCTCCTGCATTGTTTTCTGAAATCCAAATTTCGGTTCACCATCCCTTCAACGTTTCTCAAAGTTGAACTCGGAGGATGAGAGCTTATTATTTTGATAGAGAAGCTCTTTAAAGTAGCTCCAGTTTTAAACCTGAAACCACCGAATTGCCGCGGAAACGGACGGTGCGTCCGCTTCCGCGACAACTCGATGGTTTTAGATATAAAACCGGAGACACTTTACAGAGCTTCTCTACCGAACGGTGTTCCTTCTAGATCGGGGGTCTCCAAGCACCGGCCCAAGGGCCAAATCCGGCCTGCTGAAGTCTTTTGACTGGCTTATATCTGCCCGCGGCCCGATTCCAGGAAGTCCGCAGCTAGCAGCACAAAAGCGTGCGCAAAGAGACGGCACCGCAACCTAAACAAAAATTTAAAAAAAACTAGGAAAGAACTGCCTATCGTAACGCTTCTCCTCTCATCATATTATTCATTGAACATTGTCATCGCCATTTTTAGTTCCCGGTGTTTGTGTAACTTCGTAATATATCTGCGTAACCACATTTGTTCAAATTCCTTCGCGTTCCCATGTACATATTGTGCTTAGAGTCCTTTGTCGTAGCTATTGCATATTGTCAGCATCACTTCTCTCATTCTCACTAGTCTTCTGCCCTGTGTCAACATGCCGAAGTTCCTATGCGCTTTGATTTATGCCTAGTGGGTTTCCTGGTTCCCAATTATTGTGTTATAGTAATTATCTAAATCAGTGGTCCTCAAATGAGGGTCCACGGACCCTTTGGGGATCGCGAAGGCATTCAGGGGTCCTCGATGCCCTACCTCATCTCTCAAGCCCAGCAGGAAAAGTTGTATTTTTTCAGATTGAGAAAAAACATTCTAAATTTTTGAGCGAGTTTTCTCGTGTGTGTGTCAATGAGAGTATTCTGCTCTACACTAGCCCTTAGGTATATACCTTTATTAAATCATTATCATAATTAACTTATACCTTTCTTTTCCCCTCGCCACAGACGGGGTTCTTTATCATCTCTGCCGATCTACCGGGGGTCCACAAAACATCAATGGTTGAGAACCGCCAATCTAAATATACAACTTTAAAATAAAATGTACCGTAAAATACCATAAAAGCACCCGCTATTAACATTTCCCAAATTTGGAAATTCTCGGACAAGTGCCCATGTCTAGATTAACCCAGTTTTCAGTGATAGTTAGGTGGGTGCTCCCCCGGTATTTCACAATATGTATTCATCCATCTTTTATTTTTTTAATTTTTAAGGCCCGTTCACACTCTTGCGACCGAGTACGACTGAGAGAGACGAGATCTCTTACAACTTCTTAAATGTTTCTAGAATGAGGGAACACACTGACATTGTGGCGCCATCTATGCGGTGACCCTAGAACTGCATTTCACAGAAGCGAAGGTTTTGCGGGATTTCCGAGGTCAAATGTGCGTAATACCCATAGAAAGGCTCGTTTATAACATTGACAAAAGCTTTTCGAGCCAAAAAAGAAAGGATATTGCGCGAGGAATAAAAAAAAATATGCCGGACCGCCGAGTTTACACTGCTTCCCAATAGATGGCGCCAGTGTGTTCTCTGGTTTAAGGAACCCAGGTTTAAGAGGTCGCAAGCAGTCGCAAGAGTGTGAACGGGCCTTTACTCTAACTCTTAATTTTGCATTTAAATGCAATTTCGTTTTTCCTCGTTCATAATTACCTATATATTTACCAGCCCTCGAGTCAGCAACAGATCCCCAACCTGGCCCCTTAGCCAAAAATTTTAAAAACCCTTGTTCCAAAAAAACAAAAAAAAACAACTGTGCATTGATTTTTTCATTGTGCCGTTCATTTGGAAACAAAATGCGACCACTGGGAAACATCTTTTGAGAAAAAACTCGACCGTCGGAGGGTTAAGGAAACGGCATTCAAACGGTTTTATACTTAGACTTACCATATAGACTTACCTTACCTTACCATGCGTGGTTATTTAGTATCCCTAGAGCAGAATAGACCTATAAAGTGCTATCTACAAAGTGAGAAATACTAGAAAAGTATGCTTTCGGAAATGTTTATTGCAAAATTGCAAAACTGTGCACTCTGAGATAAGGTTGGCAACATACTTCAGCATAATCGAAACCTTGCGCAAAAGACTTTCACTAATAAATGAAAGGGATACTGAACCATATTTTTGTGTTCATAATAAGTGGCGTACAATCTGCCAGCAGCCGCCGGTGTGCACGAGCACACGCAACGAAAATGACGTCGTAGCCCTCCATTCACGCTTAAGATGACAGTGAAATGTATGGGCTCCAGACCAAAGGAGAATAAAGACAGACTTTTCATTTCCACAGGTGAAAGCTACATGCTTGTTAGACCAGTTAATCGCCCACTTTTGACACCAGACCCCACTGTGGAGATGAAAAGCCTGTCTTTATTCTCCTTTTAGACATTTCGCTGTCATCCTAAGCGTGAATGGAGGTCTATTACGTCAATTTCGCTGCTTGTGCTCGTGCACTCCGGTAGCGGCTGGCTTGTGGAAAGATTGTGCGCCACTTATTATGGACACTGAAATGTTTGCTTCACCACCCCTTTACACTCACTTGTAAATGGTGAGTTTTCAGAAAAGCGTGAATATATTTACCATAATCATAAGCATTGTGGGCACTTGGCAGCTACATTTCTTGTTGCAATATCACCAAAGAAATTCGAAAACGCCTTGGTCTCGAGCAAAAAAACATGGCACTCTGTCAGAAAAGCTACCTTGGCTGAGAATTTGCTCAGCTTCTAGATGTTGGGCCACTTACAGAAAAAGAGTAAGCACAACAGACTACTTGTTTTTACGAATTTCAGCGACATGGATTGCAGCAGGTGAAAACCCTATGACTGCCAAGAATCCCATGTAGAAAGAGCACTGTCTTAAAGATGGCCGGCTGCTTTTAGATCTTATTAAAACATTCAGTAGGCCATTGACACAATCTCTTAATATATTTGCTGGCAATTGCGGGCAGATACTACCATTAATTCATTATGTACTAACATTATTTTGGTGTGTTAGCAGCACTTCTTATAATCATTTTAGCAAATTTTTTTTTTGGTCTCTGTAAACCAAAATGCTAACTTTGCCAAATATAGTCAGACAAATTCCTGTTTTGAATTTGGTGCAGTGAGCAAATTGGCATAATTTCAAACGTGTCCTCAATGTTCTGAATAAAACTACCATCTTAAAACCCCCTCAAAATCTGAAGGTTCCCCTAATTATATTTTTATTTTGTCACTATACACTCCTGAGAGTGTCCAGAATATAAGCTTTGACATACATGGTTGCATTAAGGATGCCCTATTGCTTGCAGCATTATGAAACACTTTTGGGGAAGTTGCAAAATCACTTTTTTTTGGGTGCAGTTGCTACACACGCTTTACTAGATGCTATCAAGCTAAAATTTCGTGGGCACTTAGCTCGTCTAAATGTGAAATTTTCAGTAAAACCCTTTTTTTTTAAATATTAGAGTGGCATTTTAAAGGAAAAGAAGGTTATAGCACATTTCAGTACTAATAATAGATACATGAGGATGTGCACAGAGCCCTCAATGCAATGCAAAGTACAAACAGCCACACTTTCTGCTGTATACTGCCCCAGAATGTTTCTCACATGAGTGTAAAAAATCCCCATTCAATAACCTCTTATTCTTTGATAAGAGGGATGCGAATTAGCTCATATTTTTAAACAATGCTTTTACAATGAACTCAGTGTTACCATGTTGTGCAAAGTTGGTACTCAAAATGGCATGGTAGTAAATGGAACAAGCACTGGTGACTACAAACAAAGTGTGGTGCTCAATTTTAGTATTATTATGTTTGAAATCGCTACTCGAGAACAATCATGTTTTGTTTAAACCTGCACACTTTTTGGTGAGGTAGTCTGCAATCCAAACCTTCACACAGTGAAGTGATACAAAATAAATAAGGTTTCTACCCAATTCCTAAACCTGTTGCAATTCAAATTGCCCTGTAAAAATGGCTGACTAGAAAAGGTAGCGTCACTGGCACTCATTACAAAGATTTATCCACATAACGTTTCTGTAGTATTTGGGGGCTTTCAAAAGTTTAATTTATAGTAGTTCAAAACAACCTTTTTACCCTTTTATGTACAACAGAAGAAAAGTAAATATGTACATGCTGGCTATTTACAAAAATTGTATATTACCATAAAAGAATATATAAAGGCCCTTCACAAGCTCTCTTCCTCAACACTCTTAGTGACATCTCTCTTGATCCTCTCATAAATATGCTGGTTACTTGTAGTAGTCAAAGAGCATTAATGGCCATTTTCAGGCAGAAGCTTAATCACAACTGGGACCAAGTCAGACACGGACAGGCAGCAACAGAACATGGAGCACTGACTTTGTAAAACCGTCTCAAAATAGACGAGAAATGTGCGCAGCTTATTAAAGTAGAGGCACCTGCAGGATACCCAACGGAGTACCTTGCTTGCTTTGCTTGGCATTGCAACTTCACAATCGTAAATCTCTCATTTGAGGTAATGGCTAATCAGGAGTATAAAATGATGAAAGACATTGCAAAACTTTTCCTTCGACCATATGCATAAGACACACCACACAAAACATGTGAGCAAATGGAGCGAATGCTTGATGCGAGTGTCGTACGGATTTCCTTCCTGTTCCTTTTTCTACTATCATTCTGCCTGCTTTCCACAACCACGTCAATATAATGAAAGCATATAGGTGGGGACATAGCATAACGGTGCCCCTAAAAAGTGTTTATCTTGTGCTTGCCATTCGGTCTTAGTTTCTGTATAGATTGTGCTTTATTGTTTCGCGAATGTGCTGCTCTTCCCTGAAAAGTTGAGGCATTGGCTAATTTGCATACGGATTGATTATGACGCACCAGAAATGCTGTACTTACTATAGTAAAGGCCACACTGTTTTTGAGCAAAGCCTGTGCACTTTTCAGCAGAGCACCTGCATGGCCAATCATAGCAATCAACAAAAGGGGCAAAGAATTGACACGAGAGAGAATGACCCCACGCAAAAATGCTATCTCTGCTGCGACACTGCACACAAAGTTTCCCATGCCCAAGATTCAGTGCATATCGCATTCCTGCTTGCAGAATCATTTTCACAACCTCGTTATTCGCTATGTTTCTCACCAAGGACACGATGAGTTGCTGAACGGGGTGTGTGCAGGCAGCTATTACTCGAGTAAATACGGTATTCCTTGTCTTTGGCATCAATGACATTTGCGAGTTACTGATGCCAGACACAATTTCAACAGCAACACTATTTATAAATTTTCCAGCTTTGCTATCAACCATTTGTCGTTTCAATTGTCCAACACTTGCACCAAGCATTCTCTTTACAAGAAGTGTACCTAAACTAGTGCGCAGATGCAGTGTATATAGAGTATATATAGGGTGATGCAAATGCACTGAGTCCACGAGAGTTCACTGGGAAAATAAATAAAGCAAGTGCCACAGTCTTGCACCTGAATATCACACTGGAAACGATGCACACGGTGCGCCGAACTCGACCGGCGTTGTCTCCTTGCCTTGGTCGTTCGTCGGCCGCGTCTTGCAGTCGCAGGGTCCCATCCTTCGAGCATTCGCATTCCTTTCATCAACTCTCAGCCTCTAGCCAGAAAATCATGTAGACCACTTAAGACTTTTCAAAGCAAGAGGATCACCGACTAACATTGCCGCCATACCGCATCGACAATAGCTGGCAGTTTCGAGCAAAGAGCGTATGAACGTAACCATCTGCTTGCTAGACTTTCTCAAGCATATTGTCGCTCAGTTTCGGGGAATAATTGTGTTCTTCGAGCATTTGAAGACCTCTTAAAGGCTTTCGAAAAGCTTGCAGGCCCCGTCGTTTTTTGACTGCCAGTTGCCCAGATGCACGATCGACAATGGCCGACGGAGGAAAAAGCATATGGAGAGCACGACGCATCGATCAAAGAAGCAGAGCCACGTGATTCCTCTGAAGTGCCACGCGGTCGACTTAAACCGCAGCGCCAATCAGGATCGGCCGGCAAGGGCCATCGCGAGGAGGGAGGCGAGGACGACCCACGAGGTGCCGTGGGCTAAGGCGATGCCGGCACCCGCGCTGCTCTGCTCGTCCGCGTAGGAGGGCTTCGCCACGGGGCATCCGAACCACTCGCCCACCCTGTGGGTTCGGTTGTAGATGTGCATGCGCCGGTCGTTGAACCGCCAGAAATGGTGGTCCTTGAAGAAGTAAGTCTGGCCTGCGGAGCACAAGGGAGAGAATATGTCAATGGATCCTTTTCAAAACCCTGTTCATGTTGCAGCTAGCATGCAGAACCTTTGAACAACTGTTACGCATGCATGGGTGCACTCGTTGATGCGGCAAGGTGCCGCGTCCTGATCGTTGGGTCTGGCTGAAATACATCTAGCATTCTGTATTTTGGATGAATCTAATGAAGTTCAGAAAACACTCGCCGGTGAATTCAGATTTACCCAAAAAACTTTCAGGACTGCCAGTCATAAAAAATATGACCGGTCTTTGTAGCTTCCTGAAATCCTGAGACAACTTTTGCAATTCCTTTTTTAATTTCCACTCTGTTTTGTACAGGTTGCCAAAGAAACTTTTTTAGTTTATTTATTTATTTCACATTAAGAGCCTGCGGAGGGCATTACATAATGGGGATCATTTATAATATACAAGAGGTACAGACACTGAAACAAATACATTCGGGACAAATCAGAAAATTGTTAAAAGGCAACTTCGAGCAATATTTTTTAATTTGGGATTACGACTGTTTTCAGCTAAAGCAGTGTCTCTGAATTGCGTGGTAACTTTTTTTTTCCCTCGATATTGTGTGCAGTCTTATAAATATCGCACCTCAAAGTTTAGTTTTGAACGTCTACGGCAAAACCGGAACTATCTGCTAGAGGGATGGCAAGACTGATCATCAGCCGTACAACCACGTCCTGACCACACACTGGTGCTGTGGTACACGGTACAACCAATCAACCGCAGTTCCACCGCAACGTGACGTCAAAAGGGTGCTGCGCAATTGTTCCTTGACTAAAAGCTAACCCGCTTGCTGCCCGCTAAAGAGCAGCTGGTTACATCTTAAAAATCGGTTTTAGTTTAGTATGCGGCTTCACTTTGACGTAATATTTTGGCTGTGATCTTATTTTGTGGTACTAAAGCAACACCAGTCATTTGTTTTTGTTTTCGACCGGAGTTGCCTTTAAAGGAAGGAAATTAAAATAATAGTAGTAACAAGAAACTAGTAACTACTATATATACAGAGTGTTTCACGAAAGGTGGACAAATTCAATATTGTGAAAACTGCATCGCACCAAAAGAAGACGTTGTGCAAGGACAGCGGAGCAGATGTTGGCTGCACTATTTCTCCACGGGGCAGGGTACCGTCAATGCCGAGAAGCACTCTGATTGCAAACCAAAACTTAAAAACCCGTTGAAGTTGTGCTGTTTTTTCAGAAAGCTGTGAAATGCAGCGCGTGCCTTCTATCACACTCCAATTTTTTTATTTAGTGTTTTTCTATAATGCTCAGCAAGTTTTTAAATGAAACCATGCCCTTAAACTCAATATTAGAAAGATTGATTACGTGAAAATAATTAACGACTTAATTATCCCAAACTTAAATCATTTTCCTAAATAGGCCCCTGGCCTAGGATCAAAACGACACAAGCCTTTTTTGGTGCGATGCATAGTTTTTACAGTATTGAATTAGTCCACCTTTCGTGAAACACTCTCTATATAAAAGAGAAAATCTGCAGCTCATGTCAAGAAAATAAAGTTTACCTCTTTCCTAAACATTCATTCACCTTTCTGAGGCCTCCTTTTCTCGACTATTAAACTTGTTATCTTCATTAATGATAGGGATTTCAGAAACCCAGTCAGACTTTTCACTACCTCTGCACGATAGCCAGGAAACATAAGTTCCCTCGTAATTAAGTTCTAAGAGGCCTAGATCTTGAAGCGACTGGCAGCAACAACATTCTGCAAGTTGTACTAGATAGAAGTTTGCACGGTTAATGGAAAGGTCTTTCTTTGCATCGCTGTGTATTGGAAGGCCAATTGGCACAGTCATCCGATGTGTAGACTGGGCGCATGAGGTGACACTCGTCCGTCAAGTCTTGAGACGAGTGAGTGTATTTTATCGGTTATGTAACCATTTAATTTACACAGTCAAGGCTCACTTCCTGTTGCACTGTCTATGAAAGGGCTGCTTTACCAAACTCGTCAACTGCATTCTCTACCTGCACCAGTAAAACTCCACATTGCACGTACGGAAATTAAAAGCACCAAAAAACTATAAATTTTCGGTCAAAAATAAACTTTTTTTGAAAAAATTTACCTCGAAAATGCAGAACCCTGATTATGAGCTGCTTGCTAGATACCAGGGAAGAGGTATACAGGCACCTCCCGTGTTTCTTGAAGGGATTAGACAGAAATTTTATGCTGGAGTTTGAATTCATTAAATATCTCGTCCCATATCATTGTCAGTGCACTAAGGCACCTACGAGGACTCAAGATAGACCTGTATGTACTGACACTGCAGACACAGTCCCATTTAATGTACAGCTGTCTTGGGCAAAGAATGCTTACCGTCTGAGTATTGGAAGGCGGCATCAACGCCCTGAGGCACCCCTCTCCACATGCGGATGTGGCGCGGGTAGTCCAGCTCCACGCTGCGATCGGTCTCGTCGTAGCGCCAGTACTTGTCTCCGCTGAAGAAGTAGGTCTTGCCGTTGTGGCCCCAGACCAGAGCAGCGTCCAGATGGGTCAGCGTGGCAGGCAGTCCCAGGTCAGTTAGTGGCCGTGGGTAGCCGGGCAGCGGCCTGTTGCCACTGAACAACCAGTACTTCTTCCCTGGGGGGCAGATGAAATGTGCGCAGAAAGGTCTTACATTGGCCTCTGTGCAGCATGCAGTAATTAAAGAAATGGCGTATCTTCCAGTCAACAAGTCACATGCCTCTATATAGATGGCTGTTTTTGTGAAAAGGTTGGTATACAAGTGGCACCTAGATGCGGAGTGCTGTGAAGGATGGTGTGCGGAGCCACTGCAGCCGCGGACGGACCTAAGCCACGACACTTCAGACCACCAGAAGAGCCGGCTATCGGCGGGTGTTTTGCTGTTCCACCTTCGTCGTAATTGTCACTACGGCTTACATCTTGCACAGTTAAGGTTCATACTTACAAACATGTTTTAAAAATCCATTTAAACTGTGCTGTTGTATAAGATGCACTGACGAAAATTCTGAGGAAACTGTGACTTATACGCAGAAAAATATGGTATACACCGTCTTGGTTGTTTTTGAATGCTTGCAAAGCATCTATTTTTGAAAGGCTGACCTGCAACTGGGAAGGCAGAAAAGTATATCCTCTCCGTTACCCAATGGCCCAATACTATCTCCCATTGTGTCCTGGCTTTTGAAACCTTTTTCAAGATCGCTTTTTATCATAATTTTTATTTTGCTCGAACTGTGTGTCCGAGTGTTGGAGAAAATCAGGAAAACTGTTTATTTGTTTAGGTATTTCTTTTTGGCTAGAACTGAAAAGATTCCCCAACACTGCAACATTTAGGATGACTTTGTCAGGTGACGAGTTGTCTTGTACATTTGTCTTCTTTTGTGTGTTTCAGTGCAAATTAAACATGCTAAGGGCTCTATGTTTACAAAAAGGAAGGCCTCAGTTAATGAAGTCCTTCTTGAGTCTATGGATTGAACATCATAAATAACATATCCTGACACCAACTCCAATGATGTGAGCTGTAATATAGTTTTCAATAAGCATGCTTACCCTGGCATTTCATAGGAACTAATATTTTTCTTATATACTTTCATGTTCCTTTGCTGGAATAGTACTAATACTACATCTTATTGGCGATTGGTATAGGCATGGCTTTGTGAGGAAAGCAATATTGTTCATGATAACTTTTTGTATGCCTGTTTGTGAGTTGCCCTTTTTTGAATTAATTGTGCAGAAAGTTATTACGAACCTGAGAAGAAAGCGATGTTCTGATCTGGGCGTTCGTAGACGGCATCAATCTTCTCTAGGTTTTTAGGGAAGTTATACCAAAAGACACGAATTTCAACAGGGTAGTTTGGATTCAGCCCATTGTCATTGATCCTCCAGAAATACTGAAACAAAAAAAGTATTTTAGTCAGAAGTGCTCAGCCAAAATAGAAAAGAAGCTTAGATTAGCACAGTGCAGATCCAGTAAGGGATAAGCTATAGAGACATTATAGAAGGCACTGCAGATGTACAAATAATGCAAAATCTGCCACTCTTGGCACTCCATATTACTATCAATAGAGGGAGCAATATGGGCACCCCCCCAGTAATACTGAAAGCACATTAATGGCAGAGAAAACAGTTCGATAAGCATTCTCACCGCCACCAAAGTCCAGTACAAGTAGCACTCGGCCCCATTCATTTACCAAGTAACTTACACTGACTAAATTATTTTTCTACCACATGGGGATGTATTTCCAGGTGCCTTATCAAATTTCAGTTAGTATGCCAATAACACTATACTTGTTTTGAGGATAATCTACCATCAAAATCCAATCCAGCTTTATGATAAGGACAGATTTGGGTGTTCTAGAATCATAGAGAATCACTAGACATCCTCTTATTTAAACCCATTGTGAACACTTGTCAACCTAATGAAACTTTGATCCCCTGATGAAACCTCATTTAGTTTATACCATTGAGCACCACAAAAGAAATGTATGCATTCCTGTTGTGGAATTGTGCTTCTCCGCCATCTCACCCTTAATACTGAGAATGGAGCTTCTGGGTTGAAGAAGGATAAAAAGAACCATAAAGATGATAAGCTTAAACTGAAGTAATTGAACAGACTAGCACAAGGCAACTCACTTGGCCCTTAAAGATGAAGACTTCCCTGCGGATCACAGAAATAGCGTCGATGCCCGTGAGGCAGGGGTCTGGCTTGTCAGGTGCTACGGTTGGGGTAAGGGGGTCTCTCCTGGGGTCCTGAGGTTCCCGGGGAGGCGGCTGCTGGTCGGGGCGCTCAGGAGTCTTGGGGGGGCGCGTGCTCGTCCTGGGGGAGATGGGATCCATGGGCGCCCACTTGGTCGTGTATTTGAGTCCTGAAAAGGATACAAAGCCGTCTTAACTTTGGCCGCTAAGCCGCAACGTGTAAGGACTAAGGGTGCCGTCCAGGGACCGCAAGGTCCTTCAACTTTTGAATCAATTAAGTTTAGGCTGATGATGATGCCTCGTTTTATGTGTCAGAATATTTAGCAGTGTTATATCATTTTTTCAGCAATGCCCTGGTAAAAAATTACAGGGTCAACATCATTGTCGATTGTGTCTACTCCTATATTCAGCAAATGGAAGTAGCAGTGGTGGAACTGACAAATGGTGATTTGGAGCAGCTCTTGTAGCAGGAAACAACGGGTTTTGGAGCATAGCTTCCCAATTTTGGAGCAAGCAATTCTGAGCTTTCATGTGAGAAAATTTTATACAATTTCTTTGAAAGTTAGCCTGTGAAAAAAAACTGCAGTTGTTGGAGTGTTTGGAGACTATTTAAAGTGTCATACCTACAGAGGATCTCGTCAATTTATTTATTTATTGAACAATCATACGCCGGTAATTTTGCAGATGTCTCAATTAACCTATTAGGAGTAGCAATGGCATCTTCGCTTTGTGTCTGAAGTAAAAAAGTCAAAGCCGTAATGCCGAATTGGAGCGCAGCTCTTGAGGGGGACGAGGGAAGGGTATTGAGGAGAGGGTAGGCCCCTCCTCCCTCTCCTTCTCCTCCTCCTCCCCTCATTATTCAATATCCTCCGAGGGGGGGTGGGTCACATGACCCTGGGTGAAGGGGTCACGTGACCCTGGGGTGAGGGGTCGCATGAACCTGGGGTGTCACGCGACCTGAGGGTCATGTGACCTCAAGGGGTCAAGTGACCTTGAGGGGCGTCTTGGGGGGTCACGTGACCCCTGAGGTCATGTGACCTTGGGGGGTTGCGTGACCTCGGGGGGGGGGGGGGGGGGGGTCACGTGGTCTGGGGGTCACGTGACCTCGGGGGTAGCGTGACCTCGGAGGGTCACGTGACATTGGGGGGTCATGTGATCTGGGGGGTCACGTGACCTTGGGAAGGTCACGTGACCTTGCGGTTACGCCGACTAAGACCTGTGCTCTAAAAAATGAAAGCCGTTTACAATACCCTGTAACGCCGGATTAGAGCGCAGCTCTTGAGGAGGAGGATGGAAGCGTACTGAGGGATAGGTGACTTCTTGAGGTCACGTGACCTCAGTCGGGGGGGGGGGGGGGGTGTGACGTCAGGGGGGTCACGTGAAGTCAGGGTGTCGCGTGACCTCAGGGGGAGGGCACGTGGCCTCAGGGGGGTCACGTGACCTCAAGGGGTCACGTGAACTCAGAAGGGTCACGTGACCTCGCGGTTACGCCGACGGCGACGGTGACGCGGCTCAAGCCGGAAACGGGCCCCTAAGAGCTGCGCTCTAAAAATAAGTGTTTGGCTACTTTTTATGGTTTGTATCAAGAGACGTAATTGTTGCGAGTTCGACACCAAACAGACACTTTTGTTTTGAATGTGTCTCACGCTGCCCTCGCTCGAATTCGGCCTGCTACTGTTCATAGAGCAGCTAAGCGGAACACATAGCTACTCTAACCCATCACGAGCAGCGCTAGCTATTCATTGCAATCGATGTGAGCACCGTTCGCATAAAAACCTTTAACTCTTCGTTATAGCATGTGAAAATACTGGATTTTGGGTTCAAAGCCAATTCAAAGTAAATAGTGGTTTTGGCCGAATATTTTTAATTGAATAGTGAATAGTTGCTGCGGCTTTCTCCACGCCTTTCACTGCTGTTACACCATGCTTAAACGAAAATTCAGCTAAACTTGCGAACGTTGTTCCCAAGCTTCTAACTGCCCACTTACAAGCTCTGTTAAATTTAATGTAGCTATATTTATAGACTGTGGCCTGACAGTCAAATACCTACATTGAGACGGCAAACAAACAAAAGATTTTACATTAAATTAAACCTATCAAGGAGCCAAGCCATACTTAATTGAGGGGGTTTATAAACTTCTTTCTATATGGAAATATCTTCTTCAATTCTGAGTTAAAAAAAAAAAAAAACGAAAACAAAAATAAGCAAAAATAATGAACACAGGTTGTTAGAACATCGTTGCCTAACATATACCCTTGCAAATATTAACGATCACAATGTCTCCCCCCCCCCCCCCCCCCCCCTTTTTTTTTTTTATTACACCAGGCGCCCGCATGCGCCATGCCTCTTTGAGGGTGCGTTTTTCGCCTAAGCGCACGGTTGCGCTGCGGCGAAGCGAGTCGCGAGATCACGGTGTTAGCTCCGCGGGTACTGCTTCTTCGCAGTGCACCGGTGTTTGAGGAGAAGCGCACTCAAGGGGGCTAACAAGCCGCGATCAACACTTCGAAATGTATGAATATCGCAGTTCATTTTGAAGTAAATATCAAATAGCGTATTATTTGAAACTGCTATTTGACCATTCGAATATCCGTGCTGTACTTTCTTAATTTTCAGTGGCATCGCCCAGAATGCCACGTGCCAGACACTTTTAGTTTCCTTTTCAACAACAACTTTTGGCGCAGACATGGCGTGAATTGTGCGCAAATACAGCCTTTGGAGCGGCATGTAGCAGGTAATTTAATCTGCCGCAGTTTGGCGCAAATGTGCAGCAGTTCCACCACTGCGGTAGTCAGTTTGTTCAAGTGACGAGAATGAAGATATTCAACATCAGTTAACGCCTCCGCATAATGCATAAAAAATATAATCACATGAAAGTTTTACTGAGTAGCATTAGCCTTTTTTGACGAAGCTTAAATATGTTAAAGAAACAAGATTTCTCGTGCTTCTCTGGTTATGCTCTTTTAAAGGGACACTGACAGGTTATTTATGCTCGCCAGGGTCTTTATTTGTACATGACATATCAGAGCCCAACCACTCAGAACACAATTTGCGGCTCGAAATTCGTTTTCTTTCCGCCCGAAAACCACCGATCGAGAACCGGCCGGTTTGAGTCACGCTCACTCTCTTTTCCGTGGTCACGTGCCGTTTTCTATGGTTTAGACACAACCACCAAAGATAATCAAAGTCGTGGGTCATCGAAGGCACACACCCAGTATTAAAAATCGAAACAAAATATGATATCTATTTTTGTGGCTCCTAAAAAGTTGCAAATACGTTGACTAAAAAAAAAAAAAAAAGAATTTGCACAGCCATTTGACTTTTGGCAACACTTTTCTCCTCTATATTCCTCCTTCCTCCCCATTGCAGTTTTGGTTTCGGTTTCGAGTAGTTGCGTTCTTTTTACTTTATTAGAAATATACGTGACGCTGTAGCAAAATATTGATTGAGTAGTCTTCAAACACCATAATAAATCGGCTAACAAAAAAAAAATTAAAAAATTTGGGGGTGTCAGTGATTCTTTAATAAATTAACAGAAATTACAGTAGAGAAAAGTCATCACACCAGGAATCTTGGGAAGGTACCTATTTCTTCGTTTTAAAAGTTTAGTGGCCCAACAACTGCACAAATACCCAAGTGTCGGCAGTAGTCTATCATTCTGCACTAAAGTCCGGGTGCATATGGTAATGTGCAAAAGTATTGTGCTCACCATAGAGCCTTTGAATCCCCATCTTGTCGTCGTAAGGCAGCACAAAGTCTTCCTTGACTCCTTGGTAGTAGGGGTACATGAGGGACCCTGGGACCGACGAGTGGGACAGGCCCAAGGAGTGTCCAAACTCGTGGGCAGCCACCGCAAACAGGCTCACTTCTGCAAAAATTGGAAAAACAAGTATGGCTCATGAGTCATGAGCCTAGGCATTTAAGGAAGGTACCCAGGGCCGTACCCAGAAAAAAATTTCGGGGAATTTCGGGGGGGGGGGGGGGGGGGGGGGGGGGTTTCGGGGACAACGGCGGCCATTTTGAAAGTGTCTATTGTCTTATTTTCGCCTATGAATCATGTGCATCGGTGGCATATAATGGAGAGTTACAGCAAACCGGAGATCCAATCCCGGTTTGGTACCCGGAAGCCGACCGGCGCCACTGCGCGTGCGCAGAGGTGGAGATTAAAATCGGCTGGCTGCCAGTGCACCGACCGGGGCCGTACACAGAAAAAAATTTCGGGGGGGGTCAGAACCCCCTATCCCCCCCCCCCCCCCCCCCCCTGGTTACGGCCCTGACCGCCGGTACTGCGACACTCTTCCACAGTGCCCTCGCAAGGGTGTATGGGTTATAGGAATACTTTGCCATGTTCCACAGGTGACCTTTTCGGATGTTGGAGGTTTTTAGGATGTTCCTCTCGTGTTGTTCCAAGTATAGCGGGCCTTCTTGAAGAGTCACTCCCCGATACCTGTATTCTTTGATATGTTCTACTTCCACCTCCTGTACTCTAAACATGTGGTTAGGCTCGTGAACATTATAGCCCATCCACTTTGATTTTTCCTTACTGAATTTGAATCCCTCTTCATTCCCAATTCGAGTGCAGATATCGAGCATGTCTTGAAGGTGAGTTTCACTCTCTGATAACAGGAGTATATCATCAGCAAAGGCCAGTACTGGAATATAAGTTGTTTCCATGTCATTACTGGAGGCAATGGTTGTGCCCTTTGGCTTGCAGCTCCAAAATGAGATTTATATTTTGAACAGGGTTGGAGGAAGGGGGCAGCCTTGGCGCAGACCCACAATCATGTTCACCTGCCCTGATAAGTATTCTCCCAAACTGTATCTGGCGTTGCATCCGGCGTACATGTTTCTGAAGAGCGATACTGTCAGAACATCCAGTGCCATCGCTTCTAACATCGTCTACATCTTCTCATGGGGCACTGCATCATAGGCCTTTTCCAAGTCAAGGTAAGCCAGATAGAGTGGTGACCTATCTAGATTTTTTTAGCTCTATTAGTTGTGTGACAGTGAATAAGTTGCCGCTGCCCCGCCGGTTCCTACGGAATCCATTCTGTGCCTCGCTGAAAAGATGCATCTCACAGAGTCTCTGTCTTGCAGAATTGATGCAAACAGTTTGTAAACATTACTTAGTATTGCTATTGGCCTGTATGAGTCTAAAGATTTCTTGTCTTTATCTTTTCCTTTGTAGATTAGTTTTATTTTGGCTTGTTTCCAGGCTTCAGGAATAACACTTTTTGCCAGCATGTTGTTTAGAAGGTCACTTAGGTGCTTCTGTGCTACCGGTTTAAAGGGACACTGACAGGGTATTTATCCTCGCCGAGGTTTTTAGTTGTACGTGACATATCAGAGCTCAACTACCCAGAACAGAATTTGCGGCTCGAAATTCGGTTTCTTTCCACCCGAAAACCGCCGATCAAGAACTGGCCGGTTCGAGTCTCGCTCACTCTCTTTTCCGCGGTCACGGGCCGTTTTCTAAGGTATCGATGCGACCACCAAATTTATCGTGGGTCACTGAAGGGATACACTCAATATTAAAAATAGAAAAAAATATGAAACCCATTTTTTGTGGCTTCTAAAAACCTGCAAATACGTTGATTGAAAAAAAAGTTCCACAGACAACCGGAAGCATTCTGTGCGTGCGTCGTTTCGCGTATCGTGGGACTCGCGGGGACGGCGATTGCAGCGGACGACGGGCGTGGGACCTCTATTTCAGAACTGTCGTTCGCGGGTACCGGCGAATTTTGTCCGCCTTTAAAAGAGAAATTTGGGACTGTTCAAAAGAATTGGTATTCATGCCGTACGACACGCCCGACCACCAAGCCGATTTGCACGAAGACGTCTCCGAGCCGTCACTCCCTTCTTGTGGCTGAAGACATCGCTCGCGCAAACGTCAAGCGCGACGTGTCTACTTCGAGTTGAATATGCACGCGTACGATTTCTTTACTAGGTGAGAATGTCGCCAATGCGTGGTGCATCCCGACTTCGACCCTGGAGTGCTTTTGCTAGAGAAAAATCGGCAGCAAACTTTCCAACTTACAGTTTATCGGTCCAATTGTTACTAAGAAAAGAGATCCCCGAATATCGACATGTCCCATTAGCTCAGTGGGTAAGACGTCCGCTTCGCACGCCGTAGGACCGGGTTCGATCCCCCGCGAAACTTTTTTTTATAATATTTTCCGATGTTTACATTTCTTTTTTTTTTACAATTATTACTGAAGAAACAAAAAAAAAAAAAAAATAAGGAACAAATGTTGTGGACGACACGTCGCTGAATTAAATGGTATGGGATTTCCTTTTTGACACCTGCGAACTCAATGTAATCACTTTCCACAAAATGCAAGGAGCATATAAATCAGGTAGCGTCCGCTTTCCGAGGTGCCCGTAAATGGTCTACAGGAAATGCAGCCAGCCATTAGTCCCGATCCCGTTGATCTTTCGGAAACTCTGTCGCACAATGCCACTTCTGTTTCGGACGCAGGACATGTGAGCCAGCTCTTCACGCAACATCTTGGGTGTATTCTTTTCGGAGCCGATCAAAATTCACCACGGGCACTCACTACTCATCTCCAACTCCTCAATGTACAAAACAACTAATCTTGGAGTACAGAACAACGAGCGGAACATACATAACTGCAAAAGAATCCCACGGCGAACAGTTCCCGTACGCCGCATGTCGTCTGCTACAAAAAGGAGAGAGACAAAAAAAAAAAAAAAAAAAACACGGTCGGGTGTAGCCACGTGACTTCCGCCACTCCACTCTCTTCTCTCCACTTCTCCGACCTCCGTCGGGTTTCGGTTTCGGTTTCGAGCAGTTGCGTCTTTTGGCTTTATTAAAAAAATACTCTACTCTGTTGCAAAATATTAATTGGGTAGTCCTCCGACACCATAATGAAGCGCCTGGCAAAAAATGAAAAATATTTTTTGGGGGGTGTCCGTGTCCCTTTAAGCTTTTTCAGGGACTCGTTGGGGATGTCGTCTGGACCTACTGCCTTTCCTGCTTCTAGTTTATTAATATGTCTCTGCAGTTCACCGGGCGCTATTGGTTCAAGAATGCTGCGGTCAAATTGTTCCTGAGGTGGTAGGGATGTTTCCTCCTGTGTCCTCGGTCTGTTGTAGAGGGAGGCTTTAAGTCCCTGAAAGTATCTAGTCATTCCCTCGGTAATTTCTTCTTCAGTGGTCCATTGGTCTTCTCCACTCCCTACCGTCTTGTGTTCCACGGTTCCCCAATAGGCGGCGCCAGTGTGGGATGCACGTGAGCCAAAAATGGCTGAGCGTCGCCGTCAATCTAGTTTGTCGCGGCAGCCAGGCGCCGCCACGAGAGACCAATAGGAGCGTGCTCACATACGGCGGAGCGTCACCGGCGGCCACAGCAAACCAATAGGAGCGTGCGCGTCTGGATGTGGAATGCGCCATGGGCCAAAAATGGCGACGCGTCACCGGCATCCAATAGGAGTGCCCACGGTGCGATCAAACGATGGCAGTACTTGGATAAGTCAGGATATCCAACGCTTTACTTGCCGTAAGAGATTTTAAGAGGTGCAACAATCTCTGCATTTTGCGCTAATACCGCTTAGAACGAATCCCTCGCGTTTATGACCATTGAAACATGCGTTCGTTTTTCTCCCCAAAGCAAGAAACGTGGCAGAAAAAAAGAAAAACGAGCAGCGTTCATTCCCTCAACTTGCAGCCAGAACATCAGCCACGTGATCTGAAGCCGATCCCAATGTTGATCAAAATCACGCGCTGGGGTTCGCAAAGAAAGGGACACGTGCTGAGTTCCAGACATTGTTAGGGTTCGGCTACTGTCGTCATTGCCGCGATTGGACACGGGCCACTACCCGAATGCTTGTCGAGCTATTGATTATCACGAGCCCAAATCGAGTGCTCACGCAATGCTCGGGTCCAATCTATGAGCCGCATTCTAATACCGTCACTGGGGGATTCTGCTAACCCCGAGCTACATCATCAATTTTTGCGAAGGAGAGATCGAAAGGAAACGCTCGCTTTTACCCTTGAAATTACACCGCAACAAGGGGGTTGTTGGTCAATGGCGTTGCGTGCGAGTATACCAGTGTTGGGTAAAGTACATTTAAAAAGTACCTGAAATACAAAGTGAATGAGATGTTATGCACTACAAGTAAAGTAGTAAGCACGCCAAGCGCAATGTACTTGAAGTAAAGTACCATAAATACATTGTACCTGCACAGTAAAGTGCAAGCAATTTTTAACACACTCTTTCATGATGCCCTTTCATTTTCAACTGATATGCATTGCCGCAGGGGTAATCCAGAGTCCATCAGTTATTTTTGGAGATGGCGGCGAATATTGGATAAAGTCAGGTGGCCACAGAGATGTTTTACGTGCACGCTGGCAAACTATTTAACACAATCAACGTATAAGGCACTCATTTGTATAAGCGCCATTACTTCACTAAAAGAAATGACCAGATGACGTCTCGAAAGACAATAGCATGTTTTCACATGACGACAACACACTATTTTTTTGTTGGAGGTTGGTGAACTCTTATACTCGATATCAGAAGTTGTGTAGTATAGTACTCGGAAAGCCAAGGGCACGAGCGCGTGGTCCTTGAAGGAGCTTAATTTCACCGAGCGCAAGACAAATTATACGACTTTTGTGGAAGCTACCTTCTGCGGGCCCCCAGCAGGTTGGAGATTGTCTACCGATTTGGTGACAAGACAGAAAAAAAGATTGGGCGGACGCCGAAAGCAATAGAGTAATCTCAGCCTGCCCAAAAGGCACTTTTTCGAGCCCTTTGTATAGCAATGCGTCTATAGGGAGGGAGCCGGTTTATACCCCGCTACTATGGCAAAGTGGTTTCACGGATTTTGGGGAATGCACTTTGAA